GCAAAGGGAAGGCTTTCAGTTTCTCTCCATTGAGAGTAATGTTGGCTGTTGGGTATGTATGTATGCTCCTAATTATGTTGAGGAATTTCTCTTTGATTCCTACTTTATTGTTTTCATCAAAAATGTATGTTGAATTTTGTCAAATGCCTTTTCTGCATCAGTTGATATGATCATGTTTTTATTTATGATTTTATTTATATGATGGATTAAGTTGATCATTTGTCTAATATTGAATCATCCCTGTATCTCTGGTATGAATCCCACAATGTGTTATCAACTCATACCAGCTTAACAGCAAAGTTCAAAAAATCAGAAAACAAATGCTGGCGGAGGTGTGGAGAGACTTGGACCTTCCTACATTGCCGGTGGGACTGTAAAATGGTTCAACCACTGTGGAAAATGGTATGATGCTTCCTCAGAAAGACTGAAATAGAAATATCATAAGACTCAGCAACTCCTCTTCTTAGTATCCATCCATAAGAAACAGGAGCCAGGACACGAGTGGATATATACACACTGATGTTCATCACAGCACTGCTCACAACAGCAAAAAGGTGGAGCCCAAGTGCCTTCAATGGAAGAATGGATAAAAAGAAACATTGGTGCTTACACACTCTACAACCTTGAAGAATAATGATGAATCTGTGAAACACCTCATAATATGGATGAACCTGAAGGACACTCTGCAGAGTGTAATTAGTCAACCACAAAAGGACAAATATTATATGACTATTGTAAACATGGAGCTCTGGTAGCGTAGTAGTTACGAATTGGGCTGCCAACCTCGGGGTCAGGAGTTCGAAACTACCAGCTGTTTCATGGGAGAAAGATGAGGCTTTCCGCTCCCATAAAGAAACCCTGTACAGGGTCGTTATGAGTTAGAACTGACTCCACACAGCACGTAACCACCACCACCATTATTGTAAATACTCAAGAAGAGGTTTTTATATTAAAAGAAACATTCTTTGATTTCACCAGGGGTGGGAGAGAAGAGAGAGTAATTCACCTGCTAGAGGGTAGACATGTTAACTCAGATGGCAGAGAGGGCAATATACAAGAAGAGAAAAGTTGGCAGAATGATGAAGACAGATGAAGACACAGGGAAATAAGAAAGGATTAAAGGAGATAGAGGTAAATAGTGATAAGTACACCCCCTTGCAATAATAGTGTTCTGGAGGTAGATAAAATAGAGACACAGGCTGAATGGATATGGTAGACAGACACAAATATCTGAGTCTGAAAGAGGGTATTTGTACATGAGTATTTACCTTTCCTGCAAACACAACTATGGATGTGGTAGAGCATACAGCAGGCAAAATGATGGAAACTTCCTAGATATTATCAAACATCTTAAGGCAATAATGAGTTGCTGGGCCTGGCAGCTCAGGACCCTAGTCTCAGGGGACAGTATGGTCAACTGACATAACATAGTCCTGTTCTACATCCTACTTGGCTGAGCAGCGTCTGGGATGTTAAAAGCTCATGAGTGGCCATCTAAGGTGCAGTTATTGGTCTTTCCATGTGTGGAAGAAAGTGATGAGAACTGAAGATGCTTGGAGTCATCCGCCCAAGAAAGTATCAAAACATGTGAACAGCAATCTCCAAGACTCTTAGGGTTCAAAATGGTCTACACAGCAACCACCCTGATACTCAACACAGTATCAGTACATTCATCACAACACAAGTCTCCATGACTCTGGGACCAGAAGAACTAGATGGTGCCCAGTTATCACTACCAACTGCTCTGAAAGGGATCACATTAGAAGGTCCCAGATAAGAGTGGGAGAAAATGTGGAACAACACTATTTTTTTTTTAAGACTAGTTTTCTGGTCAGAAAGAGACTGGAGGAACAGGAGACTATAGTTCTCGACACTCCTTCAGGTCTGGAAGGGAACTGACCCTCATAACCCATGACACTGTATGTAACTAATGGTTAGAAAGGAGTAATCACTAGTTTTCTGGTCAGAAAGAGACTGGAGGAACTGGAGACTATAGTTCTGGACGCCCCCTTCAGGTCTGGAAGGGAAGTCACCCTCATAGTCCATGACACTATATGACACATGACACTACATGATATCGCCTCTCCATTCAGCATTGCCTCTCTAGTATTCCTGACAAAAAGGAGTTACCTGAATGTAATCATGAGGGGAGTGTGGTGGCTCAGTAGGATAAGCACTGGACTGTGAGCAGTTTAAGCCCACCAGTTGCTCCGAGACACTGATTTACAGCCATGGACGGCCAGAAGAACAAACCAATCTGTGTTAGAAGCAGTCCAGTCAGAATGTTCCTTAGAAGTCAGAATGGCCTGGCTTCACCTCTCAGACTTTGGACATGTTATTAGGAGGGTCGAGTCCCTGCAGAAGGACATCACATTTGGTGACGTGGAAGGTCAGCGAAAGAGAGGAAGACCCAACAAGATGGACTGGCCCAGTGGCAGTAGCAACGGGTTCAGCAATTGTGAGGATGGTGCAAGATCCAGCAATGTTTTACTCTGTTGTGCACATGATTGTGGTAAGTCAGAACTGACTCGCTGGCACCTAGCAACACTATATATACATATGTATATATACACACACACACACACAGAAATATACCCAAGAAAATTGAAAATGTATATATTCACATGAATACTCCTAGCAGCATTATTCATAATAAGCAGAAAGTAGAAACCACCCAAATGTCCATAATGATGAGTGATAGCCATCCAATGTGATACTATTCAGCCCTAAAAGGAATGCAGTGTGATCTATGTTACAATATGGATGGACCTTAAAAAAGCAGTATGTTAAGTGAGAGAAGGAAGACACAAAAGGTCACACATTGCTGCTTGGCTCTGGTTCTGTGAACCGTCTACAACAGGCAAATCTATAAATGGAAAAGTGACTAGGGGAGGGAACTGCTAATGAACGCAAGGGTTCTTTTGGGACTGATGAAAATGTTCTGGAGTTAGACCAGGATGATTGATGATTACATAACTCTGTGTGCAGACTAAAAACCACGGGGTTGTATACTCTAAGAGGGAAATTTTTTATGGTGTGTGAATTATATCTCAATTTTTTTGAAAAGTAAATGGTTCTTCTCAGGAAATTGATTTCCTCACGACTTTTTCAAGACACCTACTGGTTCATGAATACAGAAACCTTCTTGGCAATGAGATCTGACATTTCTAATCTACTGCAACAATTCTACAACAGAACTTCATTTTAACCACATTAATTATAGATACCAGCTGATAGATTCTCCATTTGGATTTATTCTTGCTTTTAAACAATAAAGATTTGAAAGTTCTCTAAGTTCATTACTTACCCCATGGTTTTTTTTTAAGTTTGTATTTTTCGTAACTAACTGGGGCTAAAACAGATGCCTTCATTTTAGAAATCTTAGTAATACTGCCATCTAGAAACATTGCTCTTGTAATGACATTAGTTAGCACAGCCATCTTCAAGCAGTGCTTTTAAAATTTAATTCCCGTTCATAAGACAATAAAAAGGCTAGCCAGAAACCAATAACAGTATTTCAATGTAATAAGTGATAACCAAAAGCTGTAAACCACGAAACAAGCGCAGATTTTCTTTCCCCTGGAATATAAATAGGACTCTAGGCTGACTCTATGCAGTAATGAGTTTAAATGAGAATTTGTCAAGCTCTAAAAAGAAAACACTTTGAATGTGCATCTTCTGCAACATCGTTTTGCGTTATCTGGTTTCTTTATCAGAAGGCTATAGGTTTTGCATTAGTGCTTTAATCCACAATGGATGCTTGCTTAAGAATTTGTAAAAGAATGAAATAGTCATTTTAGTGTGGTACCACTCACTGGGTTGTACTATCTATCCATAGCTGCATTATAAGTTAACAAGACTGGACCTCCTAAAAATGCTAAGTGTCAAGAGGAGGGCTGAAATACTTCAAAAATCAACATTAGAGTCTGCTTTGAAGAAGCTACTTTAAAAAGCATTAACAGATTACAATGGGCTAACATGGTTTTCATTTCACAAATTCAATGTAAATTGCATACATTCAGTTTTTACTTTTGAACACAAGTGGTTTTATACAGTATCAGGTCTGTTGGCCACAAGAAAGACATCAACATGGGCAGAATGACCTTATTATCCAAGTACGGTATCATTTTGTAGAAATGTGTATAAAACCCATCCACTGCTTGGACAGAAGAGAGCAAGTCAAGGAGATGAAAAAACAGACAGCATACCTTTTAATTAAATGATGCTACTATCTTACAGGTCAACATTCGCTTTCTAAAAATCATCCTATGCAATATGGTAACCTAGCTGACAACTCAGATAAAGTCTAAGTCTTTCAAATTATGTCTATTCAAATGACAGTGTTATAATTCAAGTCGAACAACAGAAATCTTTATAGCCCAAGAAATGGGAGAAATGAAAAATTGATTTCTGACCCAAATGTGTGCTAGTCCCTCACACTAGAGTGAAGCACTGGGAAGGGACCTGAGCAGATGAGCTCCAGGTGGAGAAAGTTGCATATTAGAATTCAAAGCTGAGCTACAGCACATACTCAGAAACCATTCTGGATTGTTGTAGTTTACACTGATAGACGTCAGAGAACTGTTTATCAGGTGTTTCTTTCAGTTGCACATCTTTTCTAAGTAATTCTTGCTTTTCTTCTAGGAAACATATGAAAACACTTTGCAAGAATGCATGCAAACATGTTTCTTTAAGGCCATGAACTGGTTTGCTAAGTTGCATTGTTTGAGTCAAGCACAAAGCCCCTCCTTCAACAAGGGGTCTATAAAGGAAACAAATCACCTTCAACCTATGGGGGGGGTCTCTGCCCCTGAAAGCTAACAGGTAGACTGCTCATTGAAGCACTATATGCAAAATGGTGTATATTTACATTTAAAAAAAAAAAAAATTTCTGGCTGTTCCTTTTCGTATGTTACAAAACAAAAAAACCCAGATCTTTAAAGTAAGATAAGAATCCTTCTTTTCTTCAAAAGATCCGATCCTTTCTGGCATCATATCCTCTATACAATGGCATACTGTTCATATAAGAGGTCTCTTATCCTATAAAAATCTTGACAAAGGCAGCCTTCTAATCCAATGCGTCCAGTTTCCGTCTAGAAATCAAGGGAAAAACATGTAAGTCCATTTTCTAGTCTTTAACATGCAGCTATAATAAAATATATTACATAGATTATTTTATGACTGGACAGGATTGGATTGCTCTGACTCATAGAACATGGATATAATGTAATATTCAAGTCATGAAGTTTTCATAGACACAAATGGCAGCAACTTCAAATAATGAAAACTTACAATAACACTATAGATCATTTCCTTAAGAGTCACTGTTCTAAGACTTCAAGGTCATCATCATTACGTGTATGAATTACTGGTCTTCAGTTCTGTGAAATTACCACTCAAGAATCACAGAATCCCAAAGAAGACATCAGAAGCAGGTGTTTGACTCAGTCCTTACTGAAAACACACTTACTCGACGGACCGCTACTTGATTGTTGCAAACCAGGACACCGCCTACAAATTCAGCTTGAATCCCCTCCCGTAGAAGAACTTGTTTGAAGTCTGAGAGCCTTGGTTCGTTCATAAAAACCGACTGATGTCCAGGAACCTTGGCAAAGGTCAAGGAGGAAAGAAGAAAACACCAGATAATATAGTTTCCTGAACAAAGTGAAACAACACATCATTTCTAAGACATTATTATCTGTTATTCCATGAGGTTCTGTGACAGATCATGTCAAGAGCCTAAATCACATTCCAAGTTGTTATTCTAAATTTTACCTTATCACTTAGCATTACAAAGCCCTTTACAGTTTCTGAATGTTCCACAGTTTTATTAGTCATGGCTCAAACCACAGAGACACTTGTTGGGTCATGTTATGCTCTTCACACCCACGTGCCGAATGGGGTCAACGAGAGTGCCAGTCAGCAGAACTGAACCAAAAATGTGTTTGCCAGATTCCAGCTGTTTGCTTTTTCAGAGGACAATGGATACCTCTGGTTTCAAAATCAGAAAAGCATGGGGTTCAAACCAACACTGCGACTACACCTATCCACAGCCATCAAGTTGATTCTGATTCACAGCAACCCTAAAGACAGAGTAAAAATGCCCCAAAGGGTTTCCAGTGCTGTCCATTTATACAGAAGCAGACAGTCTCATTTATCCCACGGAGCAGCTGGTAGATTTGAACTTGTGACCTTGGGGTTAGCGCCCACGATGACACCAGGGTTCCAGTACTAACATAGAGAGAAAAAAGATTGTAGTCGCTCTTCTCAATTTCAAGAGCAGACTAAATAGGAATCCAGTGACAGAGGATGAAAGACATCTCTTACTTGTAGGAAGTACTCTGATAATAAAATCCAATATTGTTGTATGTTGAAGTAATTTAATGTCGCTGAAATCTGTGCTAATTTGAAACCTCTCGAGAACACGGACACACTGGACTATCATGTCATTAGTACCTATTAAGAGAGTCCCAACTATATCAAAACCCAACTCAACTCGAATGGAGTTGCCATTATAAAAATATGGAGTGCAAGAGTATAACATTCTTGGACACCTCCAAGTCTCCTAGTCAGAAGCAGGAAGGCAATCCTCACAAATCAACAAACTTAATATTTAAAAATCTAAAGTGCAGCACAGTGGCTCCATAAGATAAGCATCAGGCTGCAAGCCACAGGGTTGGCAATCTGAACCCACCAGCCTCTCCTGGGGAGAAAGATGAGGCTTTCTGCTTCCACAAACATTTGACACCTCAGAAAGCCTATGCAGGGTGGTTATGAGTCAGAACCATTTCAATGGCACACAACAACAACATACTGAAAACATAATCATGAAACAATTACAGACCTTCTAAGATGATCTGCTCGAGAAAAAGAAGAGGGTGTCTGCTCATGCAAGACTTACACCCTTGGAGACCCTATGCAGAGATGTTAGGAGTTGGAACCAACTCGACAGCCCTTAATAAGATGATCTGCTCACGATCATTATGAACACGTTAGGTCACATGTTTGTTGAGTCCTGACGTGGCACTGTGGGTTAATGCACTGGACTGCAAAGGTGGTCTGAACCACAAGGTTGGCAGTTCAAGCTCACCATTCGCTCCTTGGAAACCTTACATAGGGTCGCTATGGGTCGGAACCGACTCAATGGCACTTAACAACAACATATCACGTTACAGCCACACCGAATTGATACACACATGGGAACACAGCTTGAGCAAACTTTTGTAAACTCCCAAATCATGTTTTAAATGGCTAAAAATTCATAAGGAAAATTAGAAGGATGAGAAATGAACTAAGAGAGGCACGTGCATTTTTTACCTCATGAGGTGGCAAGGGCTCCAGAGTAGGAATGATCTCGCTTTCTTCACCAGCCTCTTTCTCGTCGTCCCCAAACAGGCTTTTCATGGCCTTCTGGTGTGCAGTAACGCTGGAATCGGAAGATGGTTCCACTTGCATTTCTGAGTCGTCCCCATCATCCTTCAGTTCTCCTTCTTCTAAAATAACTCCTGTGTCCACTTTGGAGACTCTCATGTCTAGGACACCATCTATCCAAGCTAGCTCTGCATCCTTTGCCTTACAGAACTGCAGGGAGCTGACTAGTGAGTCTTTCAACCTCACCTACATACATAGAGGGAATGGGGAGAAATCACAACCACAGACTGCAAACTGCTAACATACTAAGCATAGTCTACTGTCACTTTCTAACTCTGATATTGAGCATATAAATTAGAAAATCTTCCACCCATCTGATCACAACAAAGCTGCAGGATCATTAGCACCTGTGTCAGTCTCGAAGCCCAGGGCCTAGCTCTGATGCAGACTAGAATCCACTTGGCAATTAAAAACCACTAACGTATATTAATGTCAGGGCCTCACCTCCAGTGATTCTGATATAGCTAGCTCCCCACACTCCTCCAGAGCTCCCTGATGAGTCTCACGTGCAGCCAGGAGTGAGAGTCGCTGGTAAAATCTTAGCCTCTAATACCTGAACTTCAGGGGTAGTGAATGGTTTAGAGTTTCCTAAGTATACCATGCCGCCTTACACCCCCATAGTCTTGAAACGATGGATCTTGCCGTGCCCTGAACGATGTTCCTGCCTGCTGAAGTTGAAGGCTTTTTTTTTCCCAGCAAACATTTCCACACCTGTAGGAAGCCTTCATTGACACCATCCCCCACTACCAGCTACGAGTTCATCAATCTTTTCTGTTAGTACTGTTTTCTGCCCATGTCCCCATTTTCTTCAGTTTAAAGTAGAATCTGCCATCTATGGATGGTTACTGGATTTTTGACTTCTTGAATACACAGGGGCTTCAAAAATTTGTGGCAAAATTCCATGATCTTTTCATCCTATTCTTCATACTTACTGTCCTCTCACCTCAACATTTCTGCAAATACTGTTCCCTCTACTTGGAAGACTCTTTCTCTGCCCCTACTCAATGCTGACAGCCCATATACACACGTAATAAACGAACATTAGTTATCACTTCCTCCAGGAAACTTTTTCTCTTCCTCCCAATTTGGGCTGGAGGCCAACCTTTATCCAGCCACCTTCCCGTTTTGAACCCAAAGGCTCCGCACTCCGCTAGCAGACGGGCCATGTCTGTCCCACTCACCATTACCGTCCAAAGCTGCATCCAGAAGCATTTATTGCTACGTGTTTACCTGGTAGATGTGAGTTTCACTAGTGGCATCAACGGTTTCATGGAGCTTTGGCATATACACTTTAATGTCTTTCCCACCAAACACACGGCAGCACTCTGCAAGATCCTGACTGGCCTCCGGAGGTCCATGGACAATGACCAACTGTCGTGGTTTCATTTGATTGATGATTTTTTTAATGGAATCTCCATCAGAGCGTCCTTCATAGTCTATGTAAGTAACCCTGGCTCTGTAATTAGACACAATTATTCAAGCTTAGGTTTGAGAATAAATCAATTCTGATAGTAGGTTTTCTTAATAACTTTTATCACCAAGAGAGAAATCTATACAATTTCTAAAAAAAAAAACAAAAAAAAAACACAAGGATTTGAAGAACACACAAGTGTTATGTTGTTAACATATATTATTTAGAACTTAGCTATATCCAAAATATATACACTAAATGATGTCACTGGAAAAAGAAACCATTTAACTTTCTGATGTCCCAATACAAAAATTCCATAAAGCTGTAGGGGTGGTGGTTCTGTGCTGTTGAGCCCATTCTGACTCACAGCACCCCTGTATAGGTCTTCTGAGGCTGTAAAACTTTATGGGAGCAGAAAGCCTCATCTTTTGCCCATGGAACAGCTGGTAGTTTCAAACTACTGACCTTGAGGTTAGTAGCCCAATGGCCGATCACGGCACTACTAGACAGAACTCGTTCCAGAAAGCTGTAGTGTAGTAAATTATCTAATGTCAATTCTAGCCATAATCTGTAACTCCCACCAAACAGTACTGGATCTGGGTAAGAGAAGGTGGAAGAAGAGACTGATGGGGTCACATGACTCAGCTGTGGCTGCTAGTGGAGCTCCTTGTAATGGTGAAAACCTGGAATTCAAACATGGGTTTCAAATGAGCTAGCTCAGAAGCAGGAGGGAGAACCTCACTACCATCAAAGAAACAGAGCCAGGGGAAGAGCGCATCCTATGGACCCTAATCCCTGTGTACTGAGCCGCCTCAGCCCAGCGACGGAAAGCTGTGACATCAGAGGAGTGGCAGCAGCGGCAAACCAACAGCCTGTGCATGGGCCAGCACAGTGGACACCCCAGCCTATGGAGCATGTAAGGCTGAGTGACTTTGGACAGGAAGCTTGCTTATAGAAGGGAGTGCCTCCAGGAACTGAAGTGGGGAATTAGGTTTGCTGACCCACAGAGCTCGAGTCAAGTCCCTTCAGGCTGAGGTTCATAGCAGAAAAGAGTGTCCTATGGACATTTATCAGCAGCTGACTGGAACAACTGTGCCGTGAGCATTTCTAACCCCAAATTGTAACCTGCTGACTTCCCTGATAAAGCCTCCTAACTGTGAGTACTAAGTAGGGAAAAAGGGTTTCTTAACTACTTCAGCTTGCAGTAGTATTTTTAAGTCATGAGGTACTGGAGATGTTTAAGTTAGGAGTAAATGAAAACAGCACTCGGGAACACCAAACTTGCAAGACGTACTGGTTTTTTTCACCTGCTACTATACTTATTAAGGGAGCGCTGTGACTTCGTGCCATGAG